TCTATTCTTTTGAGTTTGAAAGCTTCCCTTTTACACTGCATTATTGATAGATACTTAGGAAGTGAAGCTACATGCTGATGAACCACATCCATTGCAAGCTGGCAGTCATCCCAGTGACATCCATATACAAAAGTGGGGACAAAGGTGACTACTCATTTGAGCCCAAGGAAATTATGTTTATTTCGCATTCCAGCATCCTAAATGTAATTCTTTTGACTGGAAGCTATTTTATTTTTTTAATTTGGTGGTCTAATGTTTTGGATTGCTACTCCTAAACTTCAAAGGAATTATTTTATTTAATCCACTCTAAAATGTAAAGCTATGTATCATATCATTAAGAAGTCAAAGACCAAGAAATTTCAATAAACATTTAAGAGAAACCAAGTCCTCAGTCAGATACCTCCTTTTGCTACTCAAAATTACAGTACTGAGACTCCATAAATAAAACCAGGAGTGAATGAAAACTCAAGCAAAATTTGTAACAAGCAAAATCATTTGTAAAGGAATGCTATCTTTTATTAAGTCAGCTCATGCAGCTAAAAATAAGAAACAGACATATGTTTGCATACACAAACAAACTGGATTTGTTTTTTGTTAAATAAACACTCATGTATTAAAATGAACAGAGAAAAGGGACAGCTACTGGTAGATGGGGTGATTTTTTAAATTCTTTTTTGCTGAAGTGCTCTTAGTATCATGGTGAAGAGATTTTCCCATGGTGCTCCTTGCATTGCCTGAATCCTTTTAATGGTAGTTGCTTTCTATTGAAAACATGCTGAGTAATAGCTAAAAATTTTGGGGGAACAAGCACTGGGGGATGATGTACTGAGCATTATGATGAAAGTAGCCCAGAAACATGATGCGGTGGCTTTCAAGAGGTTCCTCCCTTCCTTCCCCCTCCTTAAACCACACACAAAAACACATCCTAGGTGGTCGAGGAGGCATTGCCTAGAAGTACAAAGTGCCTGAATTGCACATGTGATTGTTACACTGGGATAAAAGCTGGAGTCAGGACAAGGGCAGATCCTGCTGCTTCAGTATTTGTACTTTTTGAAAAGCCAATTTGACAAGCAGTGTAACAAGAGCCTAACAAGTAGATGGACATATGGGGAGGCAAAATAATGGTGCATTAGGAGCACTGTGCAGATGTGAGCTGAAGTAAGGGCGTAACTCCATATGGCACATTGCTGACCTTCAGTTAGTGCTTGAATGACAGTACGCGGTGCAGGTCGCACCATCTGAGGGGTACTGTACAAGGAGCAGGGCTGAAGCCAGACAGAACTGGATTTACACAGATCATCTGCTTCCTAGAAAACAATACAGCAGCTTCTGACAGCTGTTGTGCCTGAGATTGTCCTGGTATTACTGCATCTTGCAACTCTGACATCTTCCCTAAAACACTTAGTGTATACCATGCTTCTCGAAAAAAACCTGCTATTACCACTATTAAAGTGGAGGTGGCTCTTAATCCCTGTTAATCTCTTGTGCAGGGAGAGCACAGGTGAGCATGCCTGATTTCTCTCCATGTTCTCTATTGTTTAAAAGCCTTTATATGCCTTTGGAAAGGAAATTACTTAGTCCTTTCAAACACAGAATATTAAAAATCCTGTTGTTAACATGTTGAGAAACATCATGGGTTTGTTTGGTTTGGTTTGTTTTTTTTTTTTTCATAAAATAACCCAGAGGGATGTACCTTTTACGTAGAATAGGTGCATTATTAGGGAACTGTGATGAGTGGAGGACTTAATTCTTCAACCTAGAAATCCTTTAATGAAATATGCTTGGTAAATCCAAATTACAGCTTCCAATCTATTATCAGTTGTTCCTCCCTTTCCTGTTCATCTGTTAATACCAACACTGGCTAAGAATTCGGCCTCATTTTATCAATGGCTGCTTGAAGTACTCAGGAGGATTTCCTCCAGTGTTCAGCAGCAGTCTTTGATATATGAGAATGTAGGCGAACACCAATAATCTTTTGTGAGGAAGTGTCACAATACATACATCGATCATCCAAGCCTCTATCTGTCAGGCTCTCCCAACCCAACCGTATTTTTCATGACACAATGTGGCGCATGGCCTTTAAATTACCCATCTGTCTGACAAATCAGTGAGTGTGGCAGAAACTGGCAGCAGTTTGACGTCGCCTATCACTTTAACTGAAGTGAAAGTAATGCAAACAGATTTATGGGATCCCCTTTGATTATAGACTATGAATATATTTGGAATTGATGTTTGGGAAAGAGACACAACAGAGAGGCAGGAAAGGCTTGTAAGCAAAAGCACTATTGTTGGGCGTGTAGCTTTGCATTTACTATGAAGGAGATTGTTCTGTCCTTAGTTTTTTCCCTCCCCATATGGTGCATCTCATCTGAATACCTCTGACTTCCCACACACACACCCCCCCCACCCCGGGTGATTATTTAGCTGTTCTAAATTCATAACTTTAGAAGTATCAAGGCTGAGTTTTCTTAAATGTATTTGCAGTACAGCTACTAAGTACATCTGTAACATTCATTGCATGGCAGTAAATACTGCTGAATTTCCAAGTGTGCTCTAAACACAATGGAGCACAGCAGAAGACAAATAGCTGACAAGGGTGGCTGCTCACTCCAGTGCTGGTGAGGACTGAAGTTCTGTGATGGAGTAAAGTATTGTTTTCATTTATCCAATGGTTTATCTTTTTTGCAGAAATAACCAAGACCTTGACTTTTGCACTTTGCCTTCATCCAAGGCTCTGGCTGCAGTATAGTATTGTCTTGCACCTGGTTCATAACTAAAGTGTGCTGTAACAAGCCTGGATTTTTAGAAAGGGGATTTTATCCTACTTACTGATGCTGTTTAAGTGTAGTGGTGAACTGTGATGGTGAAAGCTACGATGGAGAACTACTAAGTAGGTCTCTCATATAGGCAACAACATGCCCATTTAAACAACTCTTGGCTGCAGCTAGGCTTTTGAAGCCCTTAGCTATCCAATCCAAGTAACTGGGACAGTGGTACCCTTTGGACATTAGTACATTTGTTGAATCATTTACTGAGCTCTCTGGAGCTTATACAAGCTTCTCCTGATACACTGCTTGGCTGTCTTCAGAGGAGCTGTAGACTTAAGTGATCACCTTCTTTTTAAAAAACAGTTTTCATGAACAAGTCACTTAACAAAACAGATAGTTGTGATTCGCCTGTGATGGCTTTTGCCTGGATTCCAGGGGAAACTGTGATTTGTTGGGTTGCCACAGAAACTCATCCCATTCCCTAAACATTTTCAGAGTTTTGTCACGCCAGACAACACTGACTTAGCAGCCATCTGTCACTGGTGTGTGTTCTTGTACTCCCCTGTTATCACAGCCATTGGTAGCTGTGGGGATCATGATCTACAGCTGCGTAGCTCTAAGATAAGCTTTTCTAAATCTGGAGTCTTTCTCCTGAATTTTGCTTGAGAGATGTTGGCATAACCTTGAGCTGAATTTGATTTGTTTATTCCAGCGTGCAACCTAAACCTCTGGTGTCGTCAGCATCATGGTTCTGCAGGTCTTTCAAAACAATGGAGGGAAGATGCCTTCTGGGATGGCTATTTTGTAAACAAACCAGTTTTTCTCCTTTTCCCCCGGTTAGTGTTTGCCTTGAAAAGAAACAAACAGGTAACATTCACCTCTATGCTAAGCTGTAGAGGCCATTGTCATTAGGATGATTGCTACATGGAACAAAACAGGCTTGCTGCGCAAAGGAGAAGGTGCTAGCAATTGGAGTTCATCACTGATGGGATGGGTACTTTCCAGCCCACAGTTCTTATTTGGAAACCACATCCCAGCTCCTGTAAATGGGCTGTTGGCAGTGTCACTCCTGCATTTTCAGGCAGTTTTCATCTTAGGTCTTTGTATATGATGATGAGAGGCCTTTTGACTTCAAGGTGCCGGCTTCTGCAAGGCTCGTGGCAGCTGGGTTCTTGCATAAGCATCTCCTCACGCATCCCTAGGTGAGGAGGTGGAGACAGTGGTGCTAAGTGTTGCATTTCCTCACACAAGGTTGTGTCTGCAGGATTTCATGCAGCCCCTCAGAAACAGTGGGGCAGTTCATAAAACAAGTCAGGGATCATGGGGAGGAATAAGTAGAGCAGACAGTAGAGATCTTGCCATGTAGGTTTTGAAGTGCCTGGGAGCCTTTGGCTGCTCCCCACAGGAAAGGCTAGGTGGTTTTTGGGGTCTGTCTTTCTTCCTGTCTGGAATTGGTTAGTTGCAACCTATGAAAAGCTTTGTTTCGGCTGAAGGAAACCTTGACATATTTGCATTTACCTCCTAATTGACTAGGATGTTCCCAGTGCTTGGTGTTTTTTCAAATCCAAGCTACTCCTGTTTTAAAATCTCCATCCACAGTTCTCCCATCAGGTTTTGCCTGCCAGCATCCCACATATATTCCGAAAACACACTCATTGGAAAACCCTTTGTGCAAGTCCTACACCTTGTTGGTGTTAGGGAGGGAAGCCACATCTACACGGAAGCGCTGAAGACAGATGTACTATCCTAGTGCAGTGTTCAAAGCATGGACACCAGCTACACTATCATCCTGCAAAAAGGAAAGCTACAGATGGCGTCTTTGCTAAGGTTGTTCCTTTGGTATAATCCTGTCTCTACTGTGAGTTTTTTTCAAATACGGCTTTGCCAGTCAGAGATCTTACCAAGGCACACATGACTCTGGTGGAGCTGTGGCTTTAGGCATGTTCTGCATGGCTGTACTAGCAGAGCAGAGGGCACAAGTGAGCAAAGTCATACTGGGGTCCCTTTTTATTTAAAGTAGGCTAGGAACTCTTAAACCCAATGGCAGCATTACTTTCTAGTGCTGACCTTTAGCATAGTATGCTCTGAATGTCATGTCTAGGACCCACTGAATGATACTGGATGGAGAAATCTAAGTGCAGCCTGGCCCCTCTGCTTATAATCCCTTTGGCTAGCTGCTGCTGAGTCAAAACACCTGCTTTTTATGAGTAATGAATTTTTCTTTGCCTCTAGGGAAGATGCATGAACTTCACTCGAGTGAAATCGGATGGAACCTCTGCCCCTTACAGCCCACCGCCGAAGCTGCCGCGGCGCGATGATGTTCCTCTCAACAATGCTCCAAGGAGTCATTCTCCTCCTGTGTCTCTGCAGCCTCCTTCCAGGCAGCCACCTCCTGGACCACCCCCATCCCGAGTGCCTCCCGGACCTCCTCCGTCGCGCCCACCACCACAGCCCATGGCTTAGAGTGCAGCAAAACCCTAATCGACAAAACATGTCTCTTTGCTGAACACAGCATATTTATTGAGTATTGGTTTACAGTTAAAGATATCAGAATTTGTTGCTGGTCAGCAAAAAAAAGAAGAAAAAATCTAAAAAAAAAAAAAAAGGAAAAATTGCCAAGTGTCAATTTTAGTGTATGAATATATTTATACCACACGTGCTGAGTAAACATTCAGTGGATAGATTCAGAGCTATGGGGTATAGAAACAAAGTGATCATCTAGATACAGTAGCAGCTTTTGTATGTATACAGTTGAAAATCTATTTACGTATGACGTTTATCTGGCTTGGTATGTCAGATCATTCACTAATAACTGCAGCCGGTACATGTGCGTCAGCTGTTTTGATAGCTGCCACCTGCAAGTTGGTTAAATGTAGTTTATTGAGGAATTTGCTTTCTTTTTCCCAACAGTACTGCATCCAGATGTTAATATGGAACAATAATTGCAAAGATAACTTTCTGCCTTTGGTTCTGCAGGTGGAATTTCCATGGAAGTTTTTAAGAAGGCTTTAACAATAATGAGGTAAAATGAGACGATGTGCCAATAATCGAGCAACAGTAATCTAGCCTGGGAGAGGGATATCTTTTTCTGCTGAAAAAATCAGGTTTGAACTTGCCATCTCCACGTATGTTTAGACTCGGTTGCGTAGGACCATCACTGAAGGCCAGGGTTCAGATTTGTCCAAAGTTCAGAGGAATTTTGAGAAAAACATTTTGGCCAGGTGTTTAGTTTTTACTTACAGAAAACAAGTTCTCAAATGGAGCAAACATTCATGCAATTTGAGCATGAATACTGTAATATGCAAACAGCATGTATTATTTTTATCAGCAGCATTGAGGGACTGATTCCATTACTACTTAATTAGATAAATTTTCTTTTGATCTTACTTCCAAGCAGAACTAGATCCTCTTGTGATTAAAACATGAATTCCTCTATGAGTAGCTCTTTCTTTAGACAGCCCAGATCCCACTAAATGTAACCCTGCAGTCTGCCTGTGGTTGAGAGGCATGGCATGAAGTGTCAGCATGAGCTTTTATCCCTGTTTTATATATTGTTTGGCTAGAGTATTTCCCAAACAGTGTGACCGCTCACCCCTGGCCTCCATTCTGTGTGTCACCAGAAAGTGATGCGAGCACCCACACAGAGGTGGGAATTTATGACGCGGGACTGTGGGACAGCCCATGAATAGTGTTCACTGAGCAACACCTGAATGGGTTGTGCCCAGATCATTCCCTAGTGAATCAAAGTAACACCTGAGCTTGCTTTTTCTCTACTACTACCTATCATATTGGAGAGGGTGGCTGCAAATTCCTATGCTGGTTTGCTTTGGCACTGGCTGTGTTATTAGGATAGTTGTAGAAATAATGTTTATGTTGCATTATGACACAGCATATACCTGTCTCTCCATCTGTGTGTAGGTGTGGGTGTGTAGCACATCACAGTAGTTACTGGCACGTAAGTCTAAAATAAAACATTAACTGTATCACACAGTTACTCCAGATTTTAGGCCTCTTCATGCAGTTTTTACAAGTATATAAAATTGCACCGGTACAAAGAGAAATCAGGCTTACTATTTCCAGTGGAAGCCCCACTTGCAGAACACATACCAAGCTGTCATCAGTCTGTGCTGATCACTGTGACATGCCGTTTGTATGCAGCTGAGGCTGTGAAAGATAAACTCAGAAGAACCACAGAGCCTCTTTCTCCTCTTGCACTGCTCTGCTCTCGAGTTATGCTCTTACCTCATATATATTGGTGCAGGTAGTGGAATCATAGTCATAGGTGCCAGCTGGCCTTGGAGCTGTTCCTAATTTAGACCTAAGACAGCAAAGTATTTCTGCATGCATTAAAATGTCCCACGGGTCAAGAGGAACATCCTTACACCCAGTACTTTGCTGACCTGTGACTTCATTGTGATCAGAAAGGAGAACTGGGATGCACTCAACCCTCTCCTCATTCTTTTTAGTCACTTGAGTAGGGTCTGCATAATTTGGTCCAGAAGAATGGATTTCTGTTTGGAGGAGAAAGAAGTGTGTGTGTGTGTGTCTGTGTTTGTGTGTGGGAACTGTGTAGGTTTTTGTTTGGTTTCTCTTCCTTTACAAATATTGCTCAGAGAGTAGCTCTCCTATGAATGGAAAGGCCTTTTGCAGTCATTGTGACACACAGTCACAGGAGTAAGCTTTAGCTAATGAAAAAGCCTGGAAGCCAGATTTTGCATTGCCTTGCACCTGTACAGATCTTGAGAGCAGTCAGTAGGGCTGTTACAGATTTGTATTGATGTTATTGTTGGCAGAACTTGACTTACTTCCAGTAGGAATGGAGGTGTTGACTTAGGGAGGGCTCCTTATAATAACATATCCAACATGCCTGTTGTTTGCAGTTGAACGGAATAATATTCCTTGCTGGAATAGCCAGTCTTGCAGAGATAACAGATACTAACAGTTTCTGCATCCCTAGCAAGTGCAGTGAGAATAGGAGTGGTTTGCGCTTCCAGGTGATGAGATCTATATATGATAAAGCACCATCAATTTGAAAATTAGAATCGGCATAAATGGAGTTTCCAGCATTTTCATTATATAAAAATCAAGCATTTCATGTGTGACCTGTGTTTTGGCTGCAGCTTCTGCAATGGGAGCACTGCAGGTTTAGTTTGCCAGTAAAGTGGGAAGAAGAGCAAGTGAACTTGAACTGAATTGCCTTTGCAAAGGTGGGGGGCAGTGAATATGCTACACTGGCTACAGAAGGGCCTGTTGTGTAGAAATGTACCCATTTGCAGTGATCTCAGGCACTATAACAATGCAGTAGGCGAAAACAGTTGCTATCTCACTGTCTGTTGAGCTTGATCCTTACTTGGAGCAAATCAGACTAGGCGAACTGAAATCAAGGCATTAATACTGGTGTCTGTCAGCTGAGACCTGGCTCAAAATAAATGGACAAAAATCCCTCCATCTGGCTTGATATTTCAATGTTTGTTTTGGTATGCTTTTACATCAGTTTTGATTATAGTAGTTACACTACTAAGAAATGTTCTCATCTGGGATGATTCCCCTGTATTTTCCAGCATATAGTATCATCCAAAACTTGCAAAAAGTGAATATCTAATGCTTCCCCAAATCCAAGAGAAAAATGTGGATCAGGAGAACCTTTGGCTAATACTTAGCACAGATATGAAATGACCCAAGGTGCAAAGCAGCGGGGATGGAAACCCCATGTGTTTAAAGCTGATAGAGAACCACATTGATCAAAGCATATTTATCGCCATCTTTCAACCTCAGTGCATGTATTGCCATCTGTGAGAGTACACTGCAGAGCAGACGGTCCTAAATGTAAAAAGGGGGAAAAAAAGGAAAAAGGAAAAGAATCAGCTCCTCATCTGAATGAGTGAGTGTAACAATGAATGACATTACTTCCTGAACTGTACCAGTTCAAATGCATGTGCACCTGCTGCTCCTAATGCTTTTTACTCCTGTTGGTCTTTAGACAACATGATCAGTAATATGCTTTTTCTCTTTATTTGTATGTTGGTTTTATTGCTGTTATTTTGTTTTGGGTTTTTTTAGAAAAACACATTTCACTGAGAAAACAGCCCTACTTCTGTAAATATAGAGTTTAATTTGGAGGAAACAGCACACTTCTGGATGTTACTGCTGGACAGTTATTTATTAAAAGGGGCTTAAGGTGAATAAATACAGGTGGCTCAGGATACATGCATGCAAGTGTGATAATGCAGTATAGCATTTTCAGTTCTCTGTAGTTTTTGGGGAAGGGGAATTTTTGGGTTATGCTAGTTTGTTTAGAAGTTTGTTACTGATCTGATACTTTTGAATAATGCAATAGACTCCTAACATATAACAGTGCTTGAAAGATGTGTAGATGATGATAGATTTTACATTTTTTGGAGGGGAGGGGGTAGTGAAGGAGAAATTTTCTAGTTTTTAAGGGAAAAAATGTACTGTACTGAACTTTTTTTAGAAAAAGATGTGTGTTTTCAGAAACAGTGGGGATGTGGGCTGATAGACAGCCGGGGCGTGGAGGTGAGAGACAGAGGAAGCAGTTGGATTTTTGAGGGATAAAGAAGTTTTACATGGGTGTGTGGGTTCATTACTGGTACATGTGGTACAAATTTCTGTAACTGACATGCTGCTTCCATGTTATAATCATATAACCTTTATACATTCTATGCACCTGCTCCATTTTTCTGAGAAAACTTTGCAAATGTAATGCCTGCATGCAAATGTGGGAGATGTAGCCAAAGTGTTATAATCCAACATAATGTAGTCTTAACGGATTCAAAATCAACAATAAAAGTGCTTACTGGTTAAACACTACAGAGAATTCCACTGCAGGATCATTTTAAGAAGGCATTATCTTGTCTGTAGCTCGTTTCTGATCAGCTCAGCCATCTAATGGTCAGGAGGAGAAAGTGGGGTTGGGCTGTCAGAATTCCTATCCCCAAGTTGCTATCAATTCATTATTTGACTAGAGACAAGTGTATGTTCTGTGCCTCAGTATCCTGTTTCTAGCCTGAGAATTTCAATGTTTGCCTAATTAATTCCAAAGTAAGCCATCATTTGCTGGAAAACCTTTCAGATCTCAGGTAGCAGGGTAGAAATGCTGAGTAAATTCCACTGGAGTCAGTGCTCCGAAATTGATTTGACACATGGGGCAGGATCTGAACTTACTGCTGCTGTCTTGAGAAGTTGTGTAATGCATAGAAACAAAGTAAAAGCCACCCAAGACAGATGTTAGAGCTCAAGTCTTTAGCAAAGAGAAATTCTATGGTAAGTCCTATACCTGTGGAGTCTGGAGTCACCAGGTATCAAACACAACTACTTATTTTTAGGAGTCTTGCCTGAAGGACGCAGGACTGGATCATAAGACCCCCTTCTCCCTCACTATCTCTGAAACTAGTTTTCTCATCCCTCCCTGCTTCTAATGCTTCCTCTGTATCTCTTAGAGCCCC